AATATTGTGCTGCATTCATTACTCAATTTATTCGCAGCAATTAGCCTTCTATAAGCCATACAAATAATTATAGCTTATAGCCCACCTTGCCTTTAAGGGCCTGTTTACATGGAGGTAGGGTGACCCTAGCAGAAGGGTTACCTTAGCAAGCGGGTTACCCTACTTCAATATGTTTTACAGGAAGCTTTTACATGCGCGCTAGGGTTACCCTAGGGGTAGGGTTACCCTATCAAACAGATAGGGTGACCCTAGCAGCAGGGCTATCTTTTTGTTTACATAAGCCATGTAAACGCGTCAGGTAGGGTTACCCTAGCAAGCGGGTCATGTTTTATACGTCCTACTGTGACAGACAAACAAGGATATGGCGTCGCTAGATTATACATATGAACATATCAGCCTGGCGAGTTTTTAAACGACACCAGAAAATAAAAAGGATAAGCAATTGGGTCATTCCAGAAAAGATCCATACCCCCCCTACGGAGGAAATCGAAAATAACCCCCTCCCCCCCTTCGGACAACCTTTGAATGGTTCATCCTCCCCCCTCTCCGGCATCCAAGCCCAAAATTACCCCCCTCCCCTTCGGACATCCACTATTTCTAAATATTTCTAAATTTTTCTAAAGGCTACCTCGCCGTTTGAAAACGTCACCGAAAATTAGACTAAGTTCACACTACGCGCGAGCGAACTAATGCGGGCAGAATTTACGTGTCTTCATACTACCGCCATTACAGTTTGTTTACAAATTGAATTAGCACTCGTGTAAACCCAAAATATTTCAAATAGACCCAAGAAATTTAACTGAAAAGCATTTGTGTTCACACGAAGCTATCAAGCGCTCCGCCGTTTTCACCTGGCTCCGTTTAGAAACCATGCTCAAATTGTTACGGCAAAAGTGACGTGAAAGTTTTCAAACGATTTGCTCCAGCGTAGAGTGAATTAGCGATGGCTTATTGTGACTTTTCTACGCTGTTCTCAAATAGCTCTGGCGTGGCGGAACACTTGGCGGCTTCTTGTGACTTGCGAACACAAACACGTGGCAGGTTTTGTCGGATAATTTGCAGAAATTCACTTCGAAATTCGTTCAAGTAAAATTCAGACTGAAATTCGATGCAACTTGCGACTGATTGACAAGCGTTGCTGTGTTTACTTACATGTTAATGCATTTTTTAGTATTACTGCATTTTTTAGTATTACTGCATTCCTTAACCTCGCCCTTAATATGAAAGCCATTTCTATTTTCTAGATACGCACCTCGCAAGGAAGCTTTATTGACTATATACTGAAACAAACTGTTTTGAGTTCAGTTCACATAGCAGTCTCTTAACTCGAGCAACAGTTTAATAACTATTATTTTTAACACTTGAATAATTCAAACTTATATATATATACGAACAAAAACTGCAAACTATATAAATAAAGCGTGTCAATTTTCGACTCATTCTCAACATGCAGGATACGCTGTTACAGCGAGTTAGTTTTTGGTGGCCATGCATGCAAAAGTGGGCCGCTTATTTTGCTTACAAGTTACGTGGACGTATAATTATTGCTGTTACATAAACGTTCCGGTGTTCAAGAGCTGCATATATACAGCCGATAAAAATTGCGTGCTCATTATAATCGCCGATCACATGGCTTTATCACAGTCTCAAACTTTCAGGCAAACATATCCACATCCCTCTCCCCCCCTTTCGGACATCCTAAGACATTTTTCCTCTCCCCCCTTTCGGACATCCTAAGACATTTTTCCTCCCTCCCCCTTCGGACAGCAAAAATTTCCTCCGTGGGGGGGGGTGTGTGGATCTTTTCTGGAACCACCCATTTACAAATAAGGAAGCAGAGGCTGAGAGGCACAGAACGAAGCTTTGACTTTGGACGAGAATGATGTAGTTTCGATAACAAATTGTCAAAAACGGCGAAAAGGAAGCAAAATTCCGGCGCATCCTCATCGACGTCAAAAAAACAAACTAAATGCTCTTGGTCAGCCGAACATGTCGAAAAACTGTTGTGTTGGACTATATCAAAGAACACATTACGCTTATTTACGCAATGCGAGTAATAGACCACAACATTGAAATAACAGACCACAATATTGACATAACCTCGGAAATAACAGACCACAACATTGAAATGCAGCAAGCAAAGGCCCAATAAATAGCATTACACAACTTGCCGCTAAAACTTTGCGTTTCGGCGCCATTTATCTAATACAGACCGCTTAGCGACCACGCATAGGTAGGGTTACCCTATCCGGCAACACAGCCCTAGCAGTAGGGTCACCCTACCTCATGTAAACGCCCGCTATTTTCTGACCCGCTTGCTAGGGTAACCCTCCTGATAGGGTCACCCTACCTCCATGTAAACAGGCCCTAACATTGATCTTATATATAATGAATTAACATAACTAACTTGATTATGTTGCTAGTCGAGTATGGGACCTATGGGTCTTTTAAATCCTAGAGTAGCACAATTAATATAAAGTCTCCGTAAGGCGGTAATATTAAAGACTGTTCTTATTTATGCATGACCTTTGACTATTAAGTAGCCAAAAATTGTGCCTACAGTAATCAACTTATTCCACTATCCAGGTTGCATCACTTTTGATTGCAAAACACCCGGGTTTATTATACATGGATTTGCTAGCAAAATAGCAGCAATTGATGAACTTGGTGTTATACTAAGATTTACTAAATGTGTGAAGAAACAACGAAAAGTATATATCAATCAGAGTCATTATCTTGATCAATTTCCGATGGGATCTCCATGCAAAGAAAGTAGCTACATGTGCAAACAACATGAAACTTCAGACTGCAACAAATTTCACAATCCGTTATCAAACTTATGTCACAGAAGTGGTAAAGGACATATGTGACAACTGAATGGTACCTTTTGTAAATTTTTTGGCCAGGGGTGGGTATTTATTTTTTAATTGATATTTGAGGTTGTGTAATCATTTTTTTTACTTTTTAATGGTTGGGTCAGCAAAATTTTTGCTACGAAAAACATTTCTCTTCGGTGCCACCCCCCACCATAAATAATGACCGGTCCCTTACCGTGGCTGTTACGCAAGCTGAATGAGAGGATATAAAGGACGAATTTAATCACGCTTTGAGCGAAATACATGGTGAAAAATCGTGTGACAAATTGTGGAAGTCTATTAAAGGCGGCTTAACTAGACACACGAATTCAAAGCACGGCGAATTTTCTTCCCAGCAAACATCGCCAGAATTGCATATTTTTGCTATGATACTGTTGCGTCGATTGTGGAATCGATCAAGTCGCAAATTATAAGAGAAAAATTGTATGGGGTTGAAATGAGCAACAGCGCCAAGACTGCATCATGCACTCAAGCTTTGTTTTGATGCTTTATTCAAGCTAAGTTCTGTTGAAACTTGACCAAGCTGAGCGTGAACCTTTGTTGTATGTCGCAGGCTATATAGTATCAAAACTTTTCCAGACAAATAAACAATAGGGTGGGGTGTAACACAACGACGGACTAAATTGTGCTTGGAAAATGTCATCAAGTTGTTTTTGAAGGTCACACTTTTATATGCAAGGGACTATCTGAACAAGGATATTTATATTTCTCTATAAATTATCGTCCTATCATGTAAATTGTGTATTCTTTTTGATTGGAAACTATACATGTGTTATCATTATACCACACTCTGACCTCGACTGACATTAGCTCTGCAGCAACAATATGTAGGCTCCAGAAGTGAGAGCTGTACCAGACGACCAGAGTTACATATATGGTAAATGCTCTCGATTAGGTCTAATATAAATATAATTATGTATAGTTTTCATTTGAAACTGCCATTTACAAAAAAAAAACCTTCAACACCATACTTATGCCATAATAGGGTGACAGAAGTTGCTGTCGATATTGGTAATTTGGTGGTGTACACTGGTCAGATTTCCACTGTATTGCTAGCATGCAGGTTAATCACCTGTGAAAATACATTCGCAGTAATTCTTACAACTGATAACAACTGATAGTTTTATTAGATTGTTTTATTAATATGAATATTTTAAATAGTTATATAATGTTGACGGTTGTAAATACTGTCAGGGTATATATATATATATATATATATATATATATATATATATATATATATATATATATATATATATATATATATATATATATATATATATATATACATATATGAGTATATATACATATATGTTCCTCGTCAAGTAATAATTTATAGTGTATAACAAATTTTGATTGTGCACAATTAACCCCTGGAAAAACATACTTCAGATAAACAGACACCTTGTGGCTCAGTGCCATGTTCTACAACACCTTTCGCAGTATGTTGTCAACCGGTGCGCACACAGGTAAGGATACCATAACAAATTATCAAGAATTGCAAATACTTTGTGTTGCTGCATGATGAGGTATACAACAATGGTACCTCTGAATACTGTCAAATTTTTATTACTTTACACTTTGACTAAATTCATTCCATATTTTATGTGTGTGTTGGTGTTATGTACTAAGGTGAATATGATGTTTGTGATGTTACTCTGAGTGTGCATCCACACCGGGCAAGTTGAAAAGTTTGCCTGACCACAGTGGGATTTGAACCCACAACCTTTGGGATACTATTCCAATGCTCTGCCAACTGAGCTATGAGTTTAAGTCAGTTCAAGTTGGTGATATTTCGGAACTGAGTTTAGTTCCTTCGGCTCAGTTAGCAGAGCATTGGACTAGTATCCCAAAGGTCACAGGTTCGAATCCGATCGTGGTCAGGCAAACTTTTAAGCTTGCCTGTTGGGGATGCACACTCAGAGTATTAGTAATAGTAATAGTTTATTAAAAAACCCCTTGCAGTAGAAACTGAATTACAGGTCATTACAAAAATCTTATTTACATATATTATTTACAGTATATAAACTTATACAAAATTATCTGAGTGGTGTACATAATTTATTATAGTTAAAAATGAATGTATAACTAGACAATAGAGTTATTAGGTTCAACGATCACAGTTCAGGTCGCATACTTAATGGTAACGAATTTCTGAAACCGGTCTGTTCGCATCCTGATATTCCTCGCAACATTGTCAGATCTAAGTTTATAACCATGGTTCACTGGTGCTGACCAGCTATGAACAATTGGATAGAGTGGGTTTCCAGGTAGGATTGTCTCCACAAATCTCTTACAGGCGGCGTCCCTCCGTAAGACAAGCGGTTCGATACCAGCTAGTTTTAGGGCATCATCATAGGAACAGTTAGGGTATATTATGGCCAGTGCTCGTTTCTGGACCCTTTCAAGATCGTCGCTAAGATTTTGAGGAAGGTTGGCGAAAACGACGGAAGCATATTCCAATACTGATCTTATAATTGCACAATAAACACATAGGATGTCTGTTGGGGCTACCCCACTCCTCTTAAGCTTCCTCAACGCATATAAACGCCTATTGGATTTCTTAATAATGTATTCGCAATGCACAGACCATGTTAAATCACTGGTAACATACACTCCGAGCAGTTTAAATGATGAAACAGATTCCACGCGTGTTGCACCAATGATGATAGGTTGCAAAACACTAGTATTGAAATGAAGAAAGTTAACAATCATATCTTTACACTTGGCAGGATTCAGCTTCATATTGTTCACTTCAGCAAACGAGTGGATATCTGCTACGATATGATTCATCAAGGAAGGGGAATTTCTAGGTACAATTTCCAAAGCGGTAAGATCATCAACGAACTTAGCACGGAGGCCCCACGCAGACAAAAGATCATTCACCATTACGGCAAAGAGGATAGGGCCAAGCTTAGTACCTTGTGGAATACCACCATTGATATATTGAAGTGTAGATGCATCCAACCCAATACGAACGAACTGAGACCTTTTATATAAAAAGGCAGCGATCCATCCTAACACAACGTTATGAGTGCCAAGTTTAGATAGTTTATCAAGTAGAATCTTGTGGTCAATCAGATCGAATCCCTTGCGGAAATCAGCAAAGAAAAATCGGAGGGTGCAACCACCCTTGTCAAGGGCCTCGAGGGCTAGATGGAGAATATATACTATAGCCTGTTGCGTAGATTTTCCAGCCATAGCAAATTGCTTGTTATCCAAGTGACTTATAATGGATGGCAGGATTCTCGCTAAGGTGAGACCTTCCATCACTTTAGCAATTTCGCAAGTGAGTGAGATGGGTCTGATACCATTTTCAATGGAGCCCGGTGGAGATTGTTTGGGAAGAGGTGTAACAGTTGCTCTCTTTAATAGAGGAGGCAAATAGGCATCACGTAAGGATGAGTTATAAATATCAGCGATAACTGGCGCTAACTCAAAGGCAAACGTTTTTAGAATTACATTCGGGATTCCATCCGGTCCCGGGGCTTTTCCTGTCTTTAAAGAACAAAGGAATTTATAAACTTCACCAGTTGAAGCCAAGAGATCATCCGCAATACCAGAATCACCAGTAGAATAGTTAGAAACATCGTCCTGTGAGAGAGGCGTAAAATCTTTTGTGAGATTTACAAAGAAATAATTGATTCTTTCGCATAACGTATTAACGGAATCTACAGTTTCACCATCAATGAGGTGCTCAAACTATTGGTTATTTCTGTCAGCCATACCAGAAAGATTTTTAACTTCTCTCCACCATTTGCTTGCGTCCGTGACTTTCAGGTTTCTAACTTTAGACTTATAATACGATTCTTTACATTTTTTGATGGATTTAGCAACTTTATTTCTCCAAAATTTGAAGGAAGAGGACTCCTTCCCATATTTTGCCATACATGTTTGCCTTTTCCTAATCAATGATTTTATCTTGCTTGTCATCCAAGGCTTGTCGGAGCGACATTTACGTACTGCCTTCATAGGTAAATATTTTTCAACAGCTCCTAAAAGAGTACGATGGAAACATTCAAATTTATCTTGACACGAACCTTTCGAGATCACCTCTTGCCATGAAAACGAGGTTATCCACTGACCAAATTCTCGAATTCGACTATCACGGGTGTCTCGTCTAAAGATAGTCTCTTTGGGCGGTCGTTTTGCTCGAGACAACAAAGCAGTAATGGTCGCTGGAGCCAATCTTGGGTAATTTCTCGGGTACAGACATAATTTTAGGTTTATTTGTTAAGCACCAATCAAGGATGCCTGAATCTCTTGTGAAAACTTTTACAATCTGCGCCAGGCCGCTTAACTGACGAAAGCGGCTGGAAGATATATTGGTTGAATTGGGATTAAAATCGCCCACGATGCAAATTAGACTGTCTATATATATATATATATATATATACAATAGAGTAGAAGTGTTTTATCACATATAAAAGACGACGCGTAGCGGAGTGTTTTATATGTGATAAAACACGACTACGAGTGCTTTAAATGGCTTAAAAAAGCATACTCATCTTCTGATGAGTACATTAGCGAAGTAATTTTTAAAATAAACTTTGTCTAAACCGAGAAAATCAAAGCTAAAGTTAATGTAAATTAACATGATTTTTTATCACATATAAAACCACGACACGCTTATGATTTTTCTTTGTGTTTTGCTCCTGAATTATTAATGAGTTTTTTAAATATATATAATATATATGTATGTTTACCTTGACAGTATGTCTGGTTTCCAGTAAATCCAGTGTCACATGAACATGCGATAGTACCAGGAATAGTTTCGCATGTCGAGTTTGATGGACAGGTATTGTTAATCGCACAATTGTCCTGGTCTATAGAAAGAGAGAGATTGTTACAATGATGTTTGTGTAAAAGCAGTGACAAAGCTAGGCATTGAATTGGTCATGGTATGCTAACATACCTGCATCCAAGTGAAAGATCAAAGTATGAAAAATGCAAATCATCAAGAATTTGCAGAGCTGGGGCCGGTTGTATGAAAAAAGTGATTAACGTTAATCATAGTTAAGGGGAATTGTCATCCAATAAGAAGCGCCTATTTGAGAGTTAATCACTATTTAACAACAAAATAGTGATAAAAAAGTGACTAAGAGTTTTATACAACCGGCCCCAGACCTGTTGCTGTGGCAAGCTCGCGAAATAAAGGCCTTTATAATTATTAGAAAATGAATCATAGCACGTGATGTGGCGTAATTTCTTGAATGGTCGTTTTCTACAGAAATTAAACCTGACTAACTGATGTTTGATTCTTATGACGTTGAACATTTCAGTAAAATTATCTTACACACGTATATCATTCTGTGTTGACATAGGATGTGGATAAAGCACTGCATGTGCACTGCATGCCCACGGTGAAGCCAACAAATAGGCCTTCCATGCAAAGAGGCGGCGTGACAAGACGTAGAGGATGCAACCCGTCGATCGATCTATATGTTTAGTTTCTGATATTCTTCAATTAGTACTTTTAAATAAAGGATTAACGGTCAATTTTCTTTAATTTATTGCGGGCTGTATGTATGTATATAACATAAACCCTATAATGATTATCAACTAGGTATAAGTATTAGGCTAGTAAATATTGTTGCAAAATCTTTGTCCAAGGGGAAGGAACTTCTCCTTATTATATTCCAAGAAAACCTCCGCAATTATAAAAATAAGCAGTTACAAAAGATTCCGACATAGTGAAGCTATTTTATGTTAAAACCACATCAATGATCTAATAGTAAGATCGCTGTAATAAACGACAGCTTACTAAAATCATTATCGTATCTATCTTTTGAACCTTACAATCGCAAAGAAGTAATGATTATGCAATCTGCAAAGTTATTATAAGACAATGACGTGATTTTTAAAAATTTCACCAAAATACGAAAAATCTGAGAGCGGATTACACAGTAAAATCAAAAGCCGTATTGCCCTCGCCTGCTGATGTTTTTCCTGTCGACGACGAAGCAAAGTTATTGACTCGAATACGGTATAATGTTCCAAAAATCAAATAGTAATGAAATAACGCAAGAGTGAAATGAGTAAAACAGAAGAACAGCAGCAAAATTACGATAGACAAAAACTTAATGTTCTAAAAATGTATTTCAAAAGCTAGTTTTCAACGAAAAGAAATCATCAAAACTTGAACAACATCATTGCCTGAACAACATCATTACTTGAACATTTGTAGTAATTAGACCGTTTGAACGTAAGCCTGATATAAACTCGTAGGCCTACAATCTTCCGGTCATGGTTGACCGTTAATTAAACTGCATTTTTCGCTTGCAGAATCACCAACTTGAAAAGTATTTTGGAAATTCTTGGTTAGCTATAACGATTGAGCGTTTAATAAATGTGTCGTTTAGATATTTTTTCGTCGCTTAATTTACTTTTTTTAACAACTTTTATAATTAACTAAAAACAGCTTTTTTATTTAATTTGTGGCAGATAATAATTCAGCTGGATGAGGATTAAAAAACATGATTAACAGGTTTACTTTGTTTGTAATATTTTATCCAATCAAATTAAAGAACGTTGACGTCAGTGTTATAAGACGCTTCTAATTAGGTATGCGACTTCGTAGCCTGTTTCAAGATGTTTGTTTTCATTACAAGAAATTTAAACCTATTTTTTTTTATGGTTTGTCATTTAACAAACAACCCATTGAATGGTTTGACATATAATTCTGTCGAGCATTTCACTTGTTTGTCGCAAATGTACATAACTGTCAAACCATTCAGTAAGATATGTATATAGGTTATCATATATACCGGATGAAGTGATATCAGTTTTGTCGCCGAGGGTTGATATCACAATTGTCACAAGCGAGCGCAGCGAGCGCTACCGAGGGACAATTGATATATCGTCCCGAGATATCGTCCCCCATATCACTGAATCCCGAATACGATAATCCATATACTTGTACCTAATCAGGGTTAGAAACCCAAAAGTAGGCTAGCAGTTTTGAAAAAATAGGATAATTTTAAAATTCAAGACATTTCATCATTTATTGAACAAATATGATTTTAGAAAATAAATAGACAATCCATATGTATTATCGTTCCTGTTTTCTTTCGAAAAACTGTCGACATCAACCGACATGAACCCATGACATGAACCCATTGAACTATAGGCACAGATATCTTTTACAATTAGTAAAATTGAAGCCAAGGATATTCCAGTGGTTACCCCCATTTGAATAGATGGCGGCCAGGTTCGAGTTTCCTACTCGCTAATAAACGCTTAAAAATCAACAATAACTTTCATCATTTGAATAGTTTGAAAACGTATTTGGAATAGGTTTACGTTTATGTTAATGTTTAAGAAATAGAAAACATACGAGTTTTCTCATTTCATGGGAATATCCCGCGAGTCTGCAATCACGGCTTCAATTTTTGAATTGCAGAATATTTAGATGCACTATCTGGTGTATATAATATATCTATGACTATATGTAAACTGGCTAACTCCTATGATGAAGGCCTATACTTCTTTGAAGCAGACGCGCGGGAAAATCAGCTTTCAAAAGGACTAAGGCGAGTTTCGAGGAGTGAAAAAATTCGGTCAAAAGTTTGTTTTCAAGCAAAAATATCCAAGAAAAACACTTTTTCCATAGGAATACTGCAATGATTGGGATTCAAACCAGGTTTTCCGATTAGTTCCGACTGTTGTTCATCTCTCTGCAGCAAAAAGTGAGGAGTTTTGCTTAAGGTGGCTCCATACACTTTTCATCGTTGGGGGACTGGTACCTAATCTCGAGTTTTCGTGCGAAAATGTTAAAAATATATGCAAAAATAAATACAACTTTTTCAGTCTAAAATCCGAACCATAAGTCAAGTTTATTTTTATGTTTTGAGTCTTCCTTGTTCTCATTTGTCCTCAAAGAACAAACTTCGTCCTGATTTAGCTCTGAACATTGAATAACTAGTCTTTTTAGAAGACAATTTAATTTAAGGTAAAAAATGCAATGTTCAACGTTCAAACTCTTGCGAAAACTGGCGATCGGCCCGACCGGCGAAAAGTTTTTTACTCCAATATTTGGCGATTTATAAGTTCATATCCAGAGTTTTTTGTACTTACAACTGGTAAATGTATTCAAAGTGTTACTAACAGCAAAGGGATTCAGTGAAACAGCATCATGCGCCGGCTCAAGCTGTTTTAACTTGTCAACAACAACATGAAAACACACAAGTTAGACTGAAAACGAATATAAAACTATGTAGAAAATCCAAAAGGTTCATACATGTCACACATATCTTATACCATACGACCGACAATCACCTGTTTTCTTGGCGTTATCCCGAGTTAGCATGAAAAACTAAATATATTTGCAATTCTAAGCAAGAAAACACAATATATATTTGATATTTCGACGAGACTCGGCTAAAAACTTTTTTATGCGTGTTTTTCTGGAGATGCGCCTGCGAAAACATGTACGCGGATGTCAATTCATTGATCTTGCAGAGTGTGAAAAACTTTGGCCGCGCGAAATAAAACCGTGATTATTTCCAAAACGAATTCGGTAAGGTACCCTGAAAATTTGTACATGAGTAGACACATACTTCAAGATTTCATGATGGAAAAATAAAAAAATTTCTCGACACTAACGTAACTGATTTATTAAAAAAAATTGGGGTCACCGAACTAATTTTTGAAAACAACTCGAAAAACTGCGATATTTTCGGCTATTTAGTAGTTACCATTATTCGTTATAGTTGTCATGGAAACGCGGCTTAATTTTATCAGAATTCTTCTTGTTTGCGACACGTCTTACTATGTGTTACAATTATAAGTAAAACTTAACCCTGTAAAAGAATTTAAACAGAAAATATTCAACTTTTGCTGCTTTGGCTAAAAAGTGTATTGAGCCACCTTAATTTGTATTTTGAAAAAATGACGAAGTTTGGACGTGCCGAAGGAAACCTCTCTCTTCAACACGAAAAAATATACTATAAAACATTCTGACTGTCCAAAAGCTTAGTTTGTACTAACCCCAGGTATTGTTATTTATCCTGAACTTTTAGTCTTTGTTTTATTCCTTCTAAAATATGAATAAATTGAGTTTTTCAAGTGATGTGATTTTCGTCATTAACCTTTATTAGCCTTCATCAGCGTCATCGCATCTTCTTGTTGGGCATTTATATGAGCACGTATATGGCTGCAGTCAAACTAGCTTTTATAATGCTTATTTTAGCTATCAAAAGTAAGTCATGGGTACTTGAAAATGAATTTGCAAATGTATCTAATATTTTTCTACATAATTTGTATTATAAAATCGCATAACTCAGAAAAACCAAACATTTTCGCGCGGTTTTTGACAAATTTTATTGGGTCTCTAATATTTTAGCAGTTGAACAACGGAATTTTGTCGATATAGAAAGTGTATTTCTCAAAAAAAATTGCAAAAAAGGTCTGGCACTACCTACAAAGCACGACTTCAATCCCCCCCTGAGTTAGCCTTCCAGTTTACTTATAGTTCAATGCGAGTCGGTCATCTTAGTTTTGACAAGGCGCGAAACCTAGCCGGCAGGGCCTTTTTTAACATATAAGCTGGGGGGGGGGAGCAAATGACCCCCAGTCCCCCTTGTGCCCCACACGAAATCACATCCCCCCCCAGGAAAAGTCCCTTTTCCCTAAAATTATACAAACAAACCAGCGAAGATTAACAAATAGATTAACGGAAAGGTTTATTAACGATTAGGCTTTATCCGTTGTCCTTGTGTTAACAAAATCGATTTAAATTGTTACGTTTTTCTACCACCAATTATTGTTAATAATTTTTTATTTTTTGGATGCTCAGAATGCAGGAAATAGCATTTCCGGGTTCCAAATTACAAAAATTTTCTGGGAATTATCCGGCCTCTAATCAGTAATGATAAATTACGGTTAATATTCTTTTTTACTTTTTGTGCATTTTCCCTTCTTTTATTTCAAATACAAGTATAGTTAGCATAAATTTTAGAGCAAATTTGGATGCTCAGAATGCAGGAAATGGCATTTCCGTGCTTCAAATTTCAAAACTTTTCTGCCGGAGTACACCCCCACACACATGACCATTGCTATCCTCCTCTAATAAGTAATGATAAACGATGGTTAATTTTTTAAAACTTTTTGTGCGTTTTTTCATTTATTTATTTCAAATACAAGTATAGTTAGCAATAATTTTGGAGCAACTTTGGATGCTCAGAATGCAGGAAATAACATTTCCGAGATTCAAATTTCAAAAATTTTCTGGGGGAGTACAACCCCAGACCCCCCCCCCATTCATGCGTGGTATACTGGCCACACATGTGGCCTTCAGCCGTTGCTATCCCCCTCTAATATATTACCTCACAGAAAGGTCCCTTTTCAAAAAATGCCCCCCCCCCACGGGAAAATCCTTAAAAAAGGCCCTGACCTAGTGGGACAAAAAACGATATCCGGGACAAAAGGCGATTTCCGGGACAAAAAGCGTTATCAGGGACGATATCGTTTTTATGTCTCGCTGCTTTCTAACCGATAAAGGTACAAGTATATTGTGATAAACATGTATATCGGCGATTCAGCTTCAGAAATTTATATGAATTTTTGACGGTTAATGAATCTAATTTCACCACTTCGTGCATGTGTAGTGAGACATGAGGAAGGCCGGACACCTGAAATTTACCTTGGTCATTATTAATTGGCATCAAAACCTTTATGTAAAATGAGATTAATTGTGATTATGACGCCAGAAAGATTATTAAATTTCTCCAAGTAAAACTAAATATGTTATGGTTGTATGCTTAAACTAAAGTCTGTTTTACCAACAGACACTATTGAACTCATTTGTCAGTTGTATTAAGTTTCAAGAGGTTTCTTTTCTAAATTGCTTCCAAGTAGACTAAGTTTAATAATATTAGTGTTAGAATTCGTACCTTTCGTAATTTTCGGTGTCTACATATAATTAGCTGTGTAAAAATTACGAATACACCTACCGCATTTCTTAGACACTTTACATTATTTATCACTTACCGGCAACAACAATCATTCGCTCTGCTCCAGGTGAAAGTGAAATCGTGTTGACTAGTATCTCCGTTGCTTTATTATATTTGCTAACTTCGGACGTCATTGAATCAAGAATATAAAAGTATCCATCCCCCTCTGCAATATCTACAGTGGTAACGCTTCCCACTTGATCAGATCCAATCTGCGATGTTTGACCATCATATGTCGTTTTGTATATTTTATAAGACGTCTCTGCCGTAAAAAGAATCCAGTATACACTTCTGTTCACGGTATCAACAGCAAGATGTGTTCCAATTCCAGGTGGATTATCGTTGATATTTTGAATAGCTCCCTCAGCCAGACTATACCGGATAAGATTTCGCGAGTTTGTTAGATCAGTGGTCAAGAATAATGACCTAATGGAAAGACAATTAAAGAGCATCAAAAAAATAAACATTTTTAAATCTAGATAAAAAGTCGAATATCTTTGCACAAAAACTAAAGGGACCAATTTGCAATTCATATCTGAAAACTTTGAGAGTGGAAAAGTTTATCAAAATGAGATTTTCATAATATTACAATTTTTCTCAAAATGGCCGAAATATTACAGATACAAAAATCATATTTGCTGATTGTTTTACTTTAAACACTAGAACAATTATCGTGTTGAAGAGCAGGGCCGCTGAGAGGTTGGGCAGAGTCCTCATCATAACTGTAAAACGGAAAAAGGGGGAATTTCGATCTCGACCAATCAGCGCATTTGTTGACAATTTCGCTCCAAGCCAATCAATTCAAGAATGCGTAATTGGTTATTGTATGTAGTTTCCCTGCGAGCACAGAAAGCCCACTTAAAAACATACATTTGAAATAAAAATTTAGGGTTTTAAATAAAGCTTCGAGGCGGTTAGGTTTTTAAAGTTTTTTTAGGTTGGATTCAACGTGACAAGGTAAAATAGAAATTTTCTAAAAATTTGCTGCTAGGATTTGCATTTTTTTGCCTAGTTTTAAAATTATCGGAATTCGAACTTATGCTCTTTTTATACGCCGCTGTTCGAATGCCGATAACTTTAAAACTATAGGGAATAAAACAGAAATCCCAGCGGCGAATTTTTTTAAAAATTCTTATTTTACCTCGTCACGTTAAATCCAATCAAAACATTAAAAATCCTGCCCCCTCGAAGCTTTATTTAAGACCCTATGTTTTCTGTTCAAATGTATGTTTTTACCGGAAGTAGTAACCAATTACGCATTCTGATTGGCTTAGAGAGAAAATGTCAACAAGTGCATTGATTGGTCAAGAACGAAATTCCTCCTTGTTGTAAAACGAAAAAGCAGCGTTTTACAACATATTCCACTTTAATGTCCATTCTTCCACACTGACGCAGTTAAGAATCATATTCTCGGTTAAGAAATCTAAGACAAAGAAATTTTAAGGGCCTTTCTTTGACGGCCCCTTTTGTAGTTGGGCCTCTGGAGAAGAACCCCCTAAAAATATCGGTGGCTCTGTAATAATAATGAAGAAAGTTAATGATGATATTATTATAGTGTTTCTCTTGTTTTTTCTCTTTGCTTTTTTCGAAACGCATGCATGTAGGCTAAATTACATATTTCCCCAGAGAATAACAATTTTGATATTTATATGATATTACGAGCGTTAATTAAAGACGATTTCCAATTATATTAATTCCCTAAAGGGACCTGAATGAACAAATAAATAATTACTTCATTTGACTGTTATATGCATGGTTGCAAGAAATATACTAAAATACAAATTTGATGCTTTCAAAGTTACACAGAAAGAACTCTTTGCATTAAACCCGCCCAGATATTCTTATATGATAGGTCTGCAAATTGCGTAACCTTAAACTGTTTAATAAACAATCCTGTTGGAAAGTAAATGCAATTGAAAAGTACGCATGCATGCTGTGGTAAGAAATAGTCATCAGTTATCGTGTTGTATTCCCATGCAATTAGTTTATTCAATGACCAAAGCTTTGGTCTTCTTGAATAAAACTATATGCCGTTGCACGGGTGCCATAGATAAAATTAAGAAAACACGTGATAGAGATGCACGCAATATTACCATTTCCAGCGAAATGCCTTCGTTCGAAACGTTTTGTAGATGAAAATTTTGAGTCGAAGAACATATAACACGAAATATTATCAACAGGGATTTTTTTGAGGAATAATTAATAATTTAAAATATCCTTAATTTTTTTCCAAATTTACGTATGTCCCGAACAGATTTGGAGAAAATATTTCATTTTTGGCAACGCAAGAATCGGAAATCACAGTATCAATAGTTGTTTCTGTTTCAAAGTAGCACGTCATATAATTTTATAAAGTTTAGTGAGATTTTCAAAAAAATGCAATTTTGCTAAACCCATATTAGAATTTATAGAAGTATATCTAAACAGAAAAGTGTATGCATGTGATTGGTATCCACAATGTGATAGGCGGTAATATTATACCTCAACTTCAAATTGTCCAATCAAGAAGCTTAGTTTGTGGCACATGAGCATGAATTTAATCGCGATATCACGCCTTACGTCATCAATTAGCGAGCCCGCTTTCCTTTTGACAATGTTCCACCCCATGTTCATGGAGTGGAAAAGGCATTCATTATTTATATTAGTATCGTATTACCGCGTAAATATAACAAAAAATATTGATATTATTGCATGAGACTTTTGAGATATAATAGCGAAGCACAACAGTTGTGAATTAATGTAAGTGATATACGCGTACGAAGTCAAATTTAGTTGGAAAATGTGGTGTCTATACACGGAACAATAAAGTAAAGATGTGGTGTAATTATTCTCCCGGCACAAAAGAACCTGTGGGAACGAGGTAACAGAACAGTATTCGCGTAGACCACGCGGGACAACACGTATGACCACAAGATGACCGACAAAACATGAATAGTATTAATGAGTGATGAATAATTCAATTTTAAACCTTCCCGAGGGGCTTTCTTCGGGTAATATTTCGCCGAATCCCCCTCGCTTCCGGTCTATAAGTGATAAATGTTCATAAAATATTAATGTTTTTTTAAGGTAGCTATACATATGCTAAGTACGAGAGTCTAATGCACCTATCATTGTTTTCCCCTGAGGGGGGGGTGCGGGCGACCCAGGGGACTTTGACCACACTATGAAGCCCCAGTGAGGGGAATTTGACCTACGCATCAACTCCCAGAGTCGGGAAATTTTGACATCCGCCATCTTGAAAGTTTGCGCGGTTTTGACATTGAAAGGCCTGGTAACAAGTATGGCGGAGAAGCACGATCAAGTTTCATCGAAAAAGGTATTTTATAGCCTTTTATACACAGTGTCTCAATTTTTACCAAGTTTAAACCAG